TATCAAATCCCCCCTCATTCTTCTCTTCTGCAGACTAAACAATCCCAGTTCCCTCAGCCTCTCCTCATAACTCACGTGTTCCAGACCCCTATTCATTTTTGTTGCCCTTCGCTGGACTCTCTCCAATTTATCCACATCCTTCTTGTAGTGTGGGGCCCAAAACTGGACATGGTCCTCCAGATGAGGCCTCACCAATGTCGAATAGAGGGGGACGATCACGTCCCTCCATCTGCTGGCAGTGCTCCTACTTATACAGCCCAAAATGCCATTAGCCTTCTTGGCAACAAGGGCACACTGCTGGCTCATATCCAGCTTCTCGTCCACTGTCACCCCTAGGTCCTTTTCCGCAGAACTGCTGCCTAGCCATTCGGTCCCTAGTCTGTAGCGGTGCATTGGGTTCTTCCGTCCTAAGTGCAGGACCCTGCACTTATCCTTATTGAACCTCATCAGATTTCTTTTGGCCCAATCCTCCAATTTGTCTAGGTCCCTCTGTATCCTATCCCTGCCCTCCAGCGTATCTACCACTCCTCCCAGTTTAGTATCAGCCGCAAATTTGCTGAGAGTGCAATCCACACCATCCTCCAGATCATTTATGAAGATATTGAACAAAACCGGCCCCAGGACCGACCCCTGGGGCACTCCACTTGACACCGGCTGCCAACTAGACATGGAGCCATTGATCACTACCCGTTGAGCCCGACAATCTAGCCAACTTTCTACCCACCTTATAGTGCATTCATCCAGCCCATACTTCTTTAACTTGCTGACAAGAATTCTGTGGGAGACTGTGTCAAAAGCTTTGCTAAAGTCAAGAAACAATACATCCACTGCTTTCCCTTCATCCACAGAACCAGTAATCTCATCATAGAACCAGTAATCTCATCAATCTCATCCCTCCTGGACTACCTTGGTAGTTATCCCCCTATTTGTGTGATGAATGCATGAATGTGAAGCAACAATGACTTTATTGCCTCTGCAAGTGGTGATCGAAGGGAGGTGGGGAGGGTGGTTAGCTTACAGGGAAGTAGAGTGAACCAAGGGGCGGGGGGTTTCATCAAGGAGAAACAAACAGAACTTTCACACCGTAGCCTGTCCAGTCATGAAACTGGCTTTCAAAGCTTCTCTGATGCACACCGCGCCCTCCTGTGCTCTTCTAACCGCCCTGGTGTCTGGCTGTGCGTAACCAGCAGCCAGGCGATTTGCCTCAACCTCCCACCCCACCATAAACGTCTCCCCCTTACTCTCACAGATATTGTGGAGCGCACAGCGAGCAGTAATAACAGTGGGAATATTGGTTTCGCTGAGGTGTAACCGAGTCAGTAAACTGCGCCAGTGTGCTTTTAAACGTCCAAATGCACATTCTACCACCATTCTTCACTCGCTCAGCCTGTAGATGAACAGCTCCTGACTGCTGTCCAGGCTGCCTGTGTATGGCTTCATGAGCCATGGCATTAAGGGGTAGGCTGGGTCCCCAAGGATAACTATAGGCATTTCAACATCCCCAAAGGTTATTTTCTGGTTTGGGAATAAAGTCCCTTCCTGCAGCTTTTGAAACAGACCAGAGTTCCTGAAGATGCGAGCGTCATGTACCTTTCCCGGCCATCCCACGTTGATGTTGGTGAAACGTCCCTCGTGATCCACCAGTGCTTGCAGCACTATCGAAAAGTACCCCTTGCGGTTTATGTACTCGCCAGCTTGGTGCTCCGGTGCCAAGATAGGGATATGGGTTCCGTCTATGGCCCCACGACAGTTAGGAAATCCCTTTGCAGCAAAGCCATCCACTATGACCTGCACATTTCCCAGGGTCACTACCCTTGATATCAGCAGATCTTTGACTGCGCTGGCTACTTGCATCACAGCAGCCCCCACAGTAGATTTGCCCACTCCAAATTGATTCCCGACTGACCAGTAGCTGTCTGGCGTTGCAAGTTCCGACAGGGCTATTGCCACTCGCTTCTCAACTGTGAGGGCTGCTCTCATCTTGGTATTCTTGCACCTCAGGGCAGGGGAAAGCAAGTCACAAAGTTCCATGAAAGTGCCCTTACGCATGCGAAAGTTTCGCAGCCACTGGGAATCGTCCCAGACCTGCAACACTATGTGGTCCCACCAGTCTGTGCTTGTTTCCCAAGCCCAGAATCGGCGTTCCACCGCATGAACCTGCCCCGTTAGCACCATGATGCCCACATTGCCAGGGCCTGGGCTTTGAGAGAAATCTGTGTCCATGTCCTCATCACTCACGTCATCGCGCTGACGTCACCTACTCGCCCGGGATCGCTTTGCCAGGTTCTGGTGCTGCATCTACTGCTGGATAATGCGTGTGGTGTTTAATGTGCTCCTAATTGCCAAAGTGATCTGAGCGGGCTCCATGCTTGCCGTGGTATGGCGTCTACGCAGAAAAAAGGCGCGGAACGATAGTCTCCCGTTGCCCTGATGGAGGGAGGGGCAACTGACAACATGGCTTATAGGGTTGGCTTACAGGGAATTAAAATCAACAAACGGGGTGGCTTTGCGAGAAACTGAATGGCCCCCTCAAGGATAGAACTCAAAACTGGGTTTAGCAGGCTGTTGATTTCACAGAGGAAGGGAGAGAGGAGAAAATGAATACAAAACAAATCTGATCTATTTCTTGTTTTGAGCCACTTCATCTATCTTTATACATCTTGCTGGCAGCAGACTGTGCAGTACGACTGCTAGCCATCGTCAACACCTGGGTGCTCGGCAGAAGACAGTGCAGTATGACTACTGGCCATCATCTTCTGCTAGCTGCAGATTAAAAGACAGTGCGGGATTGAATCGCCATGAGATGAAACAAGGGAAATGACCTGGCTGAGTCACTCCCATGTTTGCCCAGGCACCCGGTTAAAAGAGCAACCAGGACTACATTGATGACGGCTACCAGTCATACTGCACTGTCTGCTGCCAAAAGGCAATAAACTGCTGCTGTGTAGCAATGCAGTACCACGTCTGCCAGCATCCAGGAGACATACGGTGACGGTTAGCTGAGCAGGGTCCATGCTTGCCGTGGTATGGCGTCTGTACAGGTAACTCAAGAAAAAAGGCACAAAACGATTGTCTGCCCTTGCTTTCACAGAGGGAGGGAGGGAGGGAATGGAGGCCTGATGATATGTACCCAGAACCACCCGCGACAATGTTTTAGCCCCATCAGGCACTGGGAATTCTACCCAGAATTCAAATAGGCGGTGGAGAGTGCGGGAACTGTGGGATAGCCACCCACAGTGCAACGCTCCAGAAGTCGACGGTTGCCTTGGTACTGTGGACACACTCCGCCGACTACATGCACTTAGAGCATTTCTGTGGGGACACACACAATCAACTGTATAAAAACACTTTCTACAAAACTGACTTCTAGAAATTCAACCTAATTTCATAGTGTAGACATACCCTAAGTCACTGCAGCAACTGGATGTGCTGAAAGCTATGTAGGTTGTGCAGTAGCGTGCCATGCCACAAAGTGGTGTGCTCAGAGACTGCCCCAATACAAGCCCCACTGTACAGATAGAGGAATGCAAGCAGGAAAGGACTAGCTGTCAACAGCCAGACTCCCTTATTGGAAAGCCTCTGTGAACTCCCTCCTCTGCTCCCTCTCTATCTCCCAGGCTGGTTCCCAGTATCGCTGTGCTGCTAGCACAGACTCTCACTGAATGCTTCCCACAGTAGGCATCAAGTCAGCAAGTCTGTATCAAGTGGCCATTAAGGAGAACAACATTTAGTCTGCATCAGCCAGACCGCCTCACTGCCCATCCCCCAAGAAGGGTCAAGCGGGTATCTTGGTGAGGGTGGTCTGATAACAGCACATGAAGGGTTAAACCAAACAGTGCTACAGGGACTAGAAAGCTCAGCACTTGAGAGACATTAAATCCTAGGTTGTGCAGGCCACCCTGTAGCTTCTCTGGGCTGGGTCATATGGTGAACCATAACTCCAACGTGTGGCTGTACAACCATGTTAGGCGCATGCTCTCACAGGAATGGACTTACTGAGCTATCATACCTCACCTGCTTCCCCCAGTCACTCACTGCCAGCGCTAATGGCATCAGCTTTGACTCAGCCTAAACAAAGGTCAGTCACGGCTGCAACTGGAAGTAGGAGACTGGGCTTGATGGACACATCTGCAAATCCAATAGACCAGTTCTGCCATCACACCAAGTAGAAAGGCTTTGGCCCAGCTCTGCAGCCCTTGCTCAAGGCAAAATTCCCACTGAAGCAAACTGGAGTGCTGCCTGAGTAAGGACTGCAGACCTGGGCCACGGCATTTCCAATTTGGTGTGATGGCAGAACTGGCCTATAGGAGCAGACCTGTCAATCAAACCCAACCTCCCACTTCCATCAGCAGCCTCCACCTGATCCTTCAGAAGCAAATGAGTTCCTTTCTCCCCTTCCTTTACTGGTGAGAGAGGGAGAGATTCCTGCCTGACATCGCTGCCACTCTGACTCTGGACAGGCACCAAACCCAGCACTGGTGACTCACAGTAGCTCAGAGAGCGCAGCAACAACCTGGCAGAGAGTAGGAGTAGCTACAGAAGAAAAGACCACAGCACTGGACAGAAATGCCAATCTGAGCCCTGGCTGTGCCTCCTCCCCAAACTTCTCTCTCCAAGGCCCAGGGTTTGACCTTTGCCCCACTGAATATCTGGGCTCTGTTGAGCTCATTACACTGAGGCTTTGTCTACACTGGTACTTTGTGGGCAAAATGTTTGTTGTTCAGGGGTGTTAAAACAACACACCCCCTCCCCCCAAATGACAGAAGTTTTACTGATGAAAAGCTCCGGTGTGAACAGCGCTTTGTTGGCAGGAACACTCTCCTGCCGACAAAGCTGCTGCTGCTTGGGGGTGGGGGGGTGGGGTGGATTATTATCCCCACATTAGAGGTGGGGAAACAAGCACAGAGAGGGGAAACTGACTTGCCTGAGTCAGCAGCAGAGTCAAGAACAGAACACAGGTGTACTCACTCCCAGGCCCTGAGCATGGAGGCTTCACCTACCTGCCATGAGTCCATATGGGGCCCCAGGACTCCTTTCTCCAGCTGGGATCATGCTTTTCATCCACTTGGCCTCAGCAGGGTGATTAAACCGGAGGAAGGTCGACTGCCCCAGGCAGATCATGCACCCTTGGGGAAAGAGAGTGAGATGGAGCAGGTTATAGCATACAGTGAACATGGCCACCCCAGTCCTTGAGGGTCTCTCTGTCCACAATGCACCCCCAAGGGATTCATCTACTGTACACACCCCAACAGTTGGGAAACTCTGGTCATGGCCAGGGAACTGGCAGGTTCTCTGTTCCAAATGTACCAGCTAGCTGTCCAGCTGCCCTGAGACAGTAGGCACATTGATGGAATCATTCTTTGTATCACCATAGCACCAGGATCCTGAGTCATGGCGCAGGAGCCCACTGAGCTAGGCACAGAATCACTGCCATTACACTTCCCTTCCTGAAGGACCACAAGGAGCTTTACGGAAGTCCCACCAGGATTTACACAGAGCCAAAGCTAAACTCCACCCTTGGACACATGAAGTGATCCCACTGCCCACACTGGAGCTGCACACATGGCTCCTGATTAAAGAGCCAGGCCTGAGGAGCCTCTGGTGGCAGAGAGACACCAACAGAACTCTTAGCCCACCCCTTTATGCCTGGCAGCGTAGCGTAAGCGAGGAGGACACAAATGCCAGGTACAGAGGGGTTGAGAGTGGGGCCTGGTGGGTTTCAGGCACATTGGAGATTTGTTGTCAGGTCACAGGGCTGATGTGGAACTCACAGAAGCTGGCGTGTCACTTTGCTCAGTGGGTATTGCAGATACTATGTGCTGTGAGGGTGCACTAGAACAAGAGCCTATGGTACAGGACCAGAGCCTGTCAAGAGGTGTGAGACTATGAATGAATATCTCCTGCACAAGCCTATTGGGGGTGGTTGAGGGGAAGCCCCTCAAACCTACTTGCTAACTAGACATCTGACCCTCCCCACTGAGCCATTCGCTTCCCCTGTTAGACATTCTGTGATTGGTTATTGCTGCGCTCATCTGTGCCTCCCAAGAATGAGCGGAGGGAGCCTTGCAAAGAGGTGGCAGCTTGAAAAAGAAGAGTCTTATGCATCTTAAAGAGAGGAGCGCAGCTGTGCTCCAGACTCAGACAATTGCTCTCTATTGTACACCCTCCTCTCTCCTGCCTGGGCTGAGACAGGAGTGTCCATCCACCCACCCAGCTTCAAGTCCAAGGGCAGCGAGGGAGATAAGAGCCAGTTTGCACAGAGACATGATGCAAATACCATAAGACTGAAGGATCACTGGGAGGCTATTGTGCTGGGACCGCCAGTTATGGGTGCAGTCACTGACTCACCATACCCAAGACTTCCTACATCACCAGATCCTCCTTTCCTTTTCTAAGGCAGGTTGGGATACATGCAGCCCAGCTGTAGCACTCCTTAGACATGGGCTGGCAGCAAGACTGCATCAGTCCTAGCCAAATATTGCCCAGTGTCAAACCTCCCTTTCCTGAGCAAGCTCATCTAACTGAACCCAGCAATCTAGACCTGGCAGAATCTGCATTCAGGACAGGATGTGGAACTGAAACTGCTTTGTGGCACTGATGGATATCCATTCTCATCCTCCTGCACCCCTCTGCAGTGTTTAACATTGCTGAGCACAAGATACTGCTGTCTCACCTGAGAGAGGTGGCAGGAGTCCAGAGGAATGCACTAAAATGGTTTGGGTCCTTCCCGCAGTTTGCATCCAAAGATGGGAAACTGCACCTACACCACTACCCCTTGCTTGTGGGGTTCCACGAGGATCAATTCTCTCTCTGATCTTTTTCTACATTTATATCCAACCAGTAAGTGAACTGGTCAGATCACAGGGACTCAAGTGCCAGCAATATACAGATGACACAGCTCTATCTATCCTTCACCACATACGACCATGCCACTACCAACAAGATTTCCCAGTGCTTGGATGAGATCAGCTCATGGATGAAGAGCAGTTGGTTGAATCTGAACCCAAGCAAATTCTCAACAATAGGAGTAAAGCTGGTTTGTGAAGGAGACAGAACCTTCTCGGAGGGCAGTCCAAGACTGTGTTATGAACTCGCAAGAACTAAGGACCATCATAAACCTCACCACTTTCCACTCCAAGAGCAAGGCACATTTCTTTGACTTTGTCTTGTCTAATATAAACACATAGCAACAGGTATATTTATTTAAACAAACAAACAAAAAACAAAAAACCCTACCAAAACAAGACACTCTTTTACATATGCTTCTCCCTCTGTGCAGAGGATGAGAGAACAAACGTGTGACAGACATGTACTCATGTTGTTTAATGCATTAGTGGAAGGTGCTCAGATGTTACAGTAATAAGCGTGATATAAAAACCTACACAGAAAAGAATAGACTCAGCCTCTGCTATTCCACACTGAGACCAGGCCTTTGCTCTTCACTTGTGTGTTGTTTTCCACCTTCCACTCATGACAGAAAGCAAAGACACAGAGAGAAAGTGTTGGAAAGAGGTAGGATGGAGCCAGGAACAGCTGGGCTTCAAGGTACGGCGCAGCCCAGAGGGCTCTTCTAGGGACAGGCTGTTCTGCCATCTTCAGAGACCAAGGAGAGAGGTATATCTCCTCCCCGCCATTCCCTCCCCCCAAAGCATCATGGAAATGAGGGAGTAGACAGCATCTTGAGCAAGAGGGTGAGGAAACAAGTATGGATAGGGAGCATGGTTCCAGGGGAAAATGTGATTGTGTGCAAGAGGCCAAACAGCGGATTCACATTTTACTGGAAGTCAGCAACACCCCAGGGATGCCACAGCTGGCAGTCTGCACTGCAGACAAGACAGCTCCTGTCTGCATGAGCAGATCATCTTTTTTGGCCAAAACCAACTGCCTTCTCTGGAGAAAGCTGGTGATGAGCCATGAGTGTGGAATGTGGCTTGGGGGATGTGCAGACAGGCATATAAACACAGGCCCTGCACATACACACATCAGCACCAAATGTCAAACCTGTGTCACCTGCCGCCCACCAGCACACATGATTGTCATCACTCCCTAGGAGAGGGAAAGGCACTCATGGCTGATGCATGTGCACGGAGACTGCAGGGGTAAAAAGACCATCACTAAAGACTAGGAGCCTGATTTTCAAATGATCTGGGCCCGCTGACCTCAATGACAGCTGCAGGTCAGCTTCTCTGAAATCAGGACCCAAGATGAGTTCTATAAATGGGTGAGGATCTAAGAGTGACTCTGCCCCTGGGCTGGATGGAATGCACTCAGAATCAGCCATCCAGAGAAGACCAGGTCCCAGCACTGTGTTTCCACATGGAAAGTGAATTACTACCTTATTAAAAAGGGAGTATGCCTTTCCTGGAGTCCCTTGACTAGCCATGTTTCAGAGGAACAGCCGTGTTAGTCTGTATTCGCAAAAAGAAAAGGAGTACTTGTGGCACCTTAGAGACTAACCAATTTATTTGAGCATGAGCTTTCGTGAGCTACAGCTCACTTCATCAGATGTATACCGTGGAAACTGCAGCAGACTTTATATACACACAGAGAATATGAAACAATACCAGCAGGACAGTGGGGTGGGAGGAGGTATTGTTTCATATTCTCTGTGTGTATATAAAGTCTGCTGCAGTTTCCACGGTATACATCTGATGAAGTGAGCTGTAGCTCACGAAAGCTCATGCTCAAATAAATTGGTTAGTCTCTAAGGTGCCACAAGTACTCCTTTTCTTTTGACTAGCCATGTGGCCAGTGCACTCAGCTTCATGGAGCCAGCAAACCAGGAACTAGCCCTAACCCAAGACATCAGTGCAGGCGCTGGGGCACTTTTTTGGGACAGGTAAGGTGTTACAGGGTTTTGGTAAGTAATAAGTAAGTTATATAGGGCTAAGTGGCAACACTCCTCAATACCAACCAACTGCTCCCTTCCAGTATTTGCTGAAAGCTCTCACTCCACTTCCCCAGGCAATCTCACACTTCCTGTTGTCGATCAAAGGGGAATTGGGGAGAGGAGAGAATTTTTCCCTACAAAGCAATAGGGCTCCTAACATGTTATTATTGGTAGCTTTCTGTTCTTATACCACTTTACTTTCTGTCTCAGGCTGTTCCCCAGTCTCCTCCCATTCCTTAACAGAGGGAGCACTGTATAGCTGCAAGAGAAGAAGATGGGTGTTTGCAACTCCCAGGTTCTATTCCTGGCCTTGCCACAAATTCACTGTAAGCTGGGTAAGTCACTGCTTTGTGCTCAGTTGCCCCATGTACAAATACAGGGGCCTCATCCAGCTAAATTAATGTTTATAGAAGTATATATTCAATGCCAAAAAACTATGTTAACCTAGAGTTAAGGTTGCTTGGTGGTACACTAGAACCTCAGAGTTATGAACTGATCAGTCAACCACACACCTCATTTGGAACAGGAAAAATGGAATCAGGCAGCAGCAGAGAGAGAAAAAAGAGAAGCCAATACAGTACTGTACTGTGTTAAACGTAAAACTTCTAAAAAAATAAAGGGAAAGTTTAAAAAAAGATTTGACAATGTACGGAAACTGTTTCTGTGCTTGTTTCATTTAAACTAAGATGGTTAAAAACATTTTTCTTTTGCATAGTAAAGTTTCAAAACTGTATTAAGTCAATGTTCAGTTGTAAATTTTTGAAAGACCAACCATAATGCTTTGTTGAGTTATGAACATTTCAGAGTTATGAACAACCTCCATTCCAGTATTGTTCGTAACTACTGTATGTCATCCCCTTCCAGACCACCAAATTGAGTAAAACTCAAACTTATGAAAACCGGGAAATATACAGTTAAGGTTGCCCATGCAACCTTAATTCTGCCCTCTTTCAGCATTGCCCCAATACACCCCATTAACACATATAGCTTTACTCTGCCAACCCCACAATTGCTGAAATGTACAAGCTCTTTATCTCCTTTTACAATCCGTTCCTCTCACCCACTGGATTCCACCTAACACTATTAAAAGACAAAAAGGGGGGGGGAGGGGACTCAGGATTAAAGCATATAAAATGTCTGGAATGGAAACCCTTTAGCCATTTTTCTGTACTGGTGCATGGGCAGTGTAACAAGTGCACATTTTCTTCAATACTGTTCTCAGTTTCAGTCCCCCGA